AGGGTCGATGGAGTCCCGAATCTTGAAGGAAAGCTGCCGTGGTGTAAGAGGCACCTGATCGGATGTAAGGCACGGGTCACAGTCACGGAGTGCCCTGCACCTGATCGAAGTGTTTATGTTTTTCAGGTGCAAGGTATGTCACGGTGACATCTGTGACATGTATTCTGGGTCCAAAAACGAATTCTGAAGTTCGCGCCGCATCGTGAAAAGCCAAGGCTTTGACTGATCATCATGCTCAGCTTCTGCTCCTGACTTCTGTTCCCGAAGTTCACGCCTTTGCTTTCCAACCTCATAAAGGCGAGAAAACAACAAATCAAACTTCAGGAGTGTCAAGAAACGAAGCGTTCTTCTTTTTGCCATCTGACAAATATTCTGAAAGCAGAATAGAAGTCTAAGCTCAGATCTGTTGCACAAACTGCGCTCTGGTCTTGTTGGAGTTGTTTGTAACAAACATCACTCTCTTGTTGAGGCGGAGCAAATAATTCACGGTGGCCACAGAGGTCTTTGTGTCTTCCTCGCAAATACCCCAAATGACACCATCGCAATCAAAGATGTAGGTCTCAAAAGATGTGAATTCCTCAAACCTTAGATGCTTCATCGCATTTCTTCAGATGTTGCTTGCCCTATCTCACAACAACAACAACAACAACAAAAGTGACTTCATGATACACAAATGTTCAAGTGTGGCACAGCAGCTCAATGCAGTTCATCATACGCGTCTTGAAGATTCACTCCATAGGCTCTGGTATCGAAAATTCTTTTCAGCACCATGCGTGAACGACGCAGCTTGCGCAAGCTGCGCAGTGTAAACGCAGTGCGAGTCCTTCCCCTCGAGAGGAGCCACATGTGGTGGTTTTCTGCTACAAAACCTATGGCTGGGGTCAGTACCGGTCCCTTTAGCCATCCCCTTTAAGGAGGTTTCTGTGGTGATCTCCCATGAGCATCTCTAACAGGTTTCAAGAAACATCGATTTGGTGCATCCCTCACATGTTTGTTCACAATGCGCCAACCAAGTCTTGTGAGATCTTGTGAGCCAGTTGAGGCTTCTCCTTTAACAGTCAACGCATTGGAATGTTGCCCTCTGGTTGAATTGGTCTCAAGTCACCCTCAAGATTCTGAATGTTCAGACAAGAAGCGATGGCTTTTCACAAGTCGGGAAAATGTGAGTCTCCGTCAAAGCCTTAGCTCTGCAGTGCTGGTCAACAGACATCAACAAACGATATATTTGTCAAATCCCTCTGCACACCTTCTTAATCTTCCTCAATCAGGAAAAAAACTCTCTCCACGTTCTTCAAGATGTACAGCAACAGAAGGACACTGATGCTTGAAAGTGGCGACCTTGGAAGACACCACCGGCACAGGGCTCGCATGGCAGTAGCCAGCAGTGGAATTGCCTCGCGGATAACAGCTTGTCTCATTGAGTTTCAAGCCAACCAAGAACCTTACTCACTCTGAGTTCAGTATGTGGAGGCACGGCTTGAAAAATGGGTCCAGGAAAGAGATGCGTTCAAGAATCTCTGTCCTGTTGTTGAGGGTGCTGGACTCACCTTTGAATCGGTTCTGGCTCTCAAAACCTCCAGTTGGAAAAATGCCAACCGGTCTGGAACTTGCGGACCTTGCGTCTGGCGTCTGGTCCCTCAAGGACTACTGGTGTTTCTCAAGAGCTCCTCACACCTCGAACAAACGCAGGACGGCAGCCTCGGCGGTCCATCAAACTCACCACGCTTGCAGCTGCGGGCCCCAGCGCTCGCAGCAGGGAGCGGCGGAGCATGGACACACCGAGAACCGAATCAAGCTAACTCGGCCAGTTGGATGGTGTTGGGTTGAACTGCTAGATTGCTTGGCCGAGTTGGTGCTTATGGGATTTGATGTGGCCTTCTGAAGGGATTTTACAACAAAAACCGACAAACGTCTCTAGTGGCACTTCCTTTGATGGAGTAAAAGCCCCAGACCACAATACAACAGGCTTCCTTTGTGTTTCGCATCGTCCGATACTTGAATCCACTTGTCTAAGTTTGCAGATGCATGTGGTCGGCTTAATTTTGGCAATCTGATGCTTCCAATCAACAAACGTAAACAGATTATTCATGTACCGTATTATTGACTTCTTTTGATATCTTGTAGTATTTGTCTCTGTGGTCTTGTATTACTCTATCACGGGTCTTGTCAAGCCAATGCTCCAATTGCCACCGCCATCAGATCAACAAGGCAGGAAAATGCCACGTGCCCTGTATGACTGCAAGGGCACCAGGGTCAAAGCCTCTGTAGTCATGAGGTGAAAAAAGGTTGTGTCATAAGGCTGCCTCGCGTAAGCCTTGCTCACTGGGTCGCGTAAGCTCGCGTGAGCAATTGTTCGAAAGCACATGCTGCGTAAGCAAAGTCGGAAATCGTGTTTATAGATGTAAGTTTGCAAAAGCCTTAAACGACCTGCACATAAGCTGCTGCTGTGGTGTGGCTGAAGTGTTTCTTGTGCGTAAGCCCGCGTAAGCTCCAAACATGATACCTTGGCATCGCGTTAAGCAAAAACCTGAGGTGCGTAAGCATTGCGAAAGATGCGAAAGTGCCTGTGCTTACAAATCCTCAATGGGAACAACGAAGAGTGTCATCTTAGGAGCCTTTTGCCCAATTGAAGCAACCTTTATTTCAAGGACAAACCCACATCAAAGCCACTAAGATACATAGATCGCCACCCACTCGGTCCGCCACCTCATCATTGATGAAACTACATAGCAGCTACTATGCTACCCGATAGTCTTTTTCTTGAAATGTCAAGCCCTGCGCAGTCCAATGACTTTCAGGATGCGACAAGGGGTGAAAGCTGCACTATTACAGACCAGCAAGACCTTCCTGAGCGGCCTTTCACAACTTGATTCAGATTACAGTATATATAGCATACATATAGCAAATGGCTACGTGAGCTATTCTCACTTCAAATGTCGTGGAAAACAAGACCTGAGAAGGCGCCCATTCAGATCGCCAGCAGACGGAATTCTTAATGCACCTCAGCGGTTTCAGCTGTGCTTTTTCAGACAGGACCTCCCGGACCTCCCTACACCAGAGCTGGTTCTCCAAAAATTCTCTCTCCGTACTGATACGTTTCGAAAGACGGTCATCACTCTGTGAGGACTTACTGAGAGCCGCTCCTCTGCCGGTCTGTGTTTTTCTCGTTGTGGTCAGACGTGGTTCTTCGGGACGCTAACGACGACCTCGGCTTTCACGGCTGAACCGTGGCTGAACCGGAAAGCCGCTGAGTGGCGCGGCTGAGGGGAAGACCAGGATCTGGATCCGGATCTAGAAGAACCGTTTCACAGGACGAGGGGCGGGTGTGTGTGGGAGAAATGCTGTAAGTGCCTGCATGCAACAGTTCTAAGCCATCATCAGGCCTGGTAATCTGAAGATAAAGACTTCTTAGGTAGACATGACATGTGACATGTGCATAAAGGAAAGCCGTATGAAACCCTCCCATGGTAGGATGCCTTCTGGAGTTCCAATGATCCCACAGGCGGCCGCTGCCAAGGCCTCCAAACGCAGAAGACGTGTCACAAAAAATACCAAGACTGGAACCATGGAGGCCTCAATGGGTCTTCTGAGAGTCAGAGTCGTTTCAAAAGAAAACACTTCCAGACCTGTCCAGCTTTTTCACATGTAGGATCATTTAGTAATCCCCCCTCTCAAACCCCTCAGGAATAATATGTTTTAAAAATAAATCTGACTACCCTGCACATCGTTTCCTGAAATTATTCCTGGGGTGCTTTAGTTGCTGGAATAATTAATGGATATTGCCACAGAACCCTCCTCAAGGCCGCATGTCATCGGCGCAAAAATCCTTAGTGTTCCTTAGTGATCCTGGAAAGCAGGACTGCCTGCGCATGAGTATTTGTTACACTTGTTTAAAGACTATTTAGTGGATTATAGATTAGTAGCGATGGCCTCCAACCTACTAGCGATGGCCTCCAACCTAGCATCCATATAGGTTTTCTTGAAAATTATTCCAAGGGTCCCTTGACCTACCCCTGCCTAAGTTTATTTTCCCAGAAAAGTATTCTGAAACAATTAGTTCATGAACTCACAGGACCCCTAGATTAATGAAATAAACGAAACCAATGAGATGAGAACCGTCCACGATTCAAAGGAACCATCCGACCGCAACGACCCGACCGCTGAGGGACTCGAACCGGTTCGCGCGGTTCGCGCGGTTCGCCGACCCGGCAATTCGCCTCACTTCGACGGCGGACCTGCGGAGTGGGCCGAAATGTAACACTTGATCATGCATGTGGTCAGTTATGGATATTCAAGCTTGGGCACCTGGCAACCTAGCTGAAGGATGTTGCAGCAGAGTCGATTGTTGTTCGAGCTCTGGTGGAGACACTAGTTGTATTTGCAAGCATCATGTGTCCTTCTTGACAATCCCTTTTCACCCTTCTGCGGCTCGTTCCAGCCATTCGGGGCCATGGCAGACCGTCTAGAGTCTAGAAACAGGTATTCCACGAAACCAATCTCTTCTGTCTCACATCGAGCACACTCTGACTCACCAACATGGAAGCGGCTGAGACCCCCGGTTTGTAAAGGAAAGCCGTCTTCCTTCCGGGACTCCACTTCCATGGAATGTCAGTCAGTCAGAATGTAAAAGCTGTCAATCCCAAAGGGGGAGTCCCTCCACCTTGCCATTGGCAGCCTGCTTGTTCTCAGCCCATGAAGCTTCCTGGACGAGTCAAAACCCACCGCAGAAAGGAGTCCGGTGGTTGTTGTTGCGGCGTAGGTTCAGCGGAACCATGATTTTCTGGGTGAAAGGATGTAGGATCACACCTACCAAAAAGCCTATATAGTTTCAACTCTCAACTGCGAAGAGCTTCTGCAAGCAACACTTTTCTGCTGAGCTCCTGGCAAATCCAACCCAGATTTTGGATCGGAGTTGTGGTTGAACAAACATGCTATTTGCGCAGTGCCAAATGGTGGAAATCTGGGAAGGGGCCGCTGGGTTCTTTGTACAGGTGCCACACTCACAGGCGGCAAAGTCTTCGAAGCCTAGGCAGGAGCTCGTGAAGGAGCGGGGTATACCTCAGAGTTGCTGGCATCGCTACAAACGGAGCGATCGGACGCTACTAGAACAAACGGAAGGACGACCCGCCGTCGGGCCAGACTCAGCTCCAAACGGCTCGGAGGTCGGGAAGACCGTGCGCACATATCGCCATTCAGTGTGCTCTAAGACCTGGCAGCACACATTTGGAGAGCTTCTGAGGGCTTTGGGGACCTTTTCATGTTTAAACTCTTTAAAAGGTTCCCATCTCTGAGGCTGTGGCACACAAAAATCCCACCAAAGCCGCAGGCATCACGACCTTGACACTCGAGAAATGATTCAGACCATGGCCTGTCTCGATTTAGATTTATGTGCAGGTGGCTCGAAAACTAGGTGGCCCAGAAAGACAATGTTGTTGCGGTTGCTGAACATGTGATAAAGAGATATAAATAGTCATAGTCTAACCTCTCAGTACTGCATCATGCTGCGGAAAAGACTTGATCCCTGAGTTTCCCTGGCTCCAATCAAAAGGGCGGCTTCCATTGGAGGGATCTCGCCCTTTGCCAATCGCATCTCTAGCCTTGCAAAGCGACTTCAGACTCGATGAGGGCCATAAGGGCCCGTTCACCTTTCTTATCCATGCACGCTTTCTATAGGTTGGAGGCCATCGCTTGTGGCCCGTTCACCCTTTCTATCGGTTGGAGGCCATTGCTATTAGGTTGGAGGCCATCGCTTCTGGGTTGGAGGCCATCGCTATTAGGTTGGAGGCCATTGCTATTAGGTTGAAGGCAATCGCTTCTGGGTTGGAAGCCATTGCTAGGAGTATCAACTTCAAATGTGTATGCAAACAATATTAGGAATAGGTCATTGGCAACCGATACAGTTTATTATGGTGCTCATTCCGATGGAGTGAGCCCTCAAGTTGAATATATGAGATATGACCACGCTAATTCTGTTTTGAAGATTGTTTCTGGTATTGCCTTTTCGGGTGGTTTGAATTCAGATATATTGAATACAGCAAACAATACCAGTATGTCAATACTACAAAGAAACGGCAATACCTACATCACTTTAACAACTGATGACAGAATAACAATGGATAGGAGAACGGACATAACAGCAAGTGGTGTAGCATTGAGTATAAATGATACTGTTTAAATGATACTGAAAGAAGGACGCGAGCAAAAGCAAAAAGTAAAGATTAAAAATATAAGTTAGTATATAATAATGGGAAGTTCATCAACAAAACCTAGTGAGACCGACTACATAGAACAAATCAAAACCGTAGATGAACATGAATTGGACTTAAACAAGATTGACACCCTTCAGACGAAAGCAATCAAACAACTCGTGAAGAAAATTGAAGAGATGGAAAAAAGAAAATCCGATAGGATTATGTATAAACTACCTGCTGTGAAGTTGTGTTCGTATTCGTTGTTATAGTTTTATGATAAAAGACCCTGACAAAAAAAGAAAAAATATATATATACCCCTATGAAGAGTATTTTTTATGATGTTATTGAGTAATGCCCATAGGGCACACTTTCAGTATCATTGACCCAATACCTTTTGTTGTCATAACTTGTCAGTCCAACTTTACTTTGATTGATTGAATAGATTTGATGGTTCTTGCTCCTAATCGCATTGAAATTCACATTCTTCGGCTTGTGTTTGTGTAGTGTGTTTTCGTAGTCTTTCATATCTAAATCTTTCTTCACGGAATTCTTTGGAACACCTTTCGCGTTCTTCTCCACCTTCTTTTCATTGAAGACTTTGAGACAATATATTTCCGGTCTCAACGCGATAAAGTTTGTGATGACGTTTCCATCCATCTCATAATTGAATTTGCCAAGGACTTTTTTATTGGTAGGGTCATAGCACAAATGGCTCTTATCATAACCACTGAAGTCCATATACTATTTTATTTCTTTCCAGTCTTCGTAGATGTCTTCAGTGACAGTCTGTAGGACAATACTGTCGGTGTCCGTGTAGATTAGTCTGATGTTCTCCTGATACTTCGCTTTGAGGACATCGTAGTAGAAGGAATACATATGAACCTTTGAAAGGTCTAAACTTGCCATTCCCAAGTAAATAGGCTTACTCAGCAACAGTTCGCTTTTTATCTTTGCCTCTCCTACCAGTTCATCGGATCGTTGATGAAATGACTGTTCTTGTAGTTAGAGCTGTTGATACACTTTTGCATTCGTTCCTGCGTTGATACTAATTCAAAGTCTATGTGATTTCTCACATTCTCCATCGTTTTGCCATAAACGGCGTTGTTCATCAATTTGAACATATCCTTCTCAAAATCATTCTTTGCCTCTTTTCGCTTTCCAGTGTTAAAATCTGTTAAAGGCTTCAACCACGACCTTTGTTTGAACTTGACCGCTCTACGTATCTGTTTCAGTTTCATCCCCTTGTTCAGGTAATACTGTAAAGCCTTGATATGGACTACATACTTCTCTTTGTCCATAACGTTCAGTATAAGTTTCGGTTGCTTCTTATCCGTGGCATCCTTGCCATTGTAGTAATAGTAATTAGTGTTTGTGTAGTGTCCTCTGATGCTCTGAAAGGAACTCCTCTTTCGCACTCATACTTTCGGGCTCTAATGGATAATCAGAATGTTCGTTATGTAGTTCCTTTGGATACTCTAAACCCACTTCCAGTATGTAGGCGTTGTCATCGTTCTCGTTCCAGTCCATTATGTTCTTTTCAGTCAGCATCTTCTTTATCCACTTGAGTTTTCCTATCGGTAGTTTCATTGACATTGCCAGTCCATACAGGTTATTAGCGTCTAAATAAATAGTTGATGAAGTTTGATGCCTTTGTTTCATCAAAGTCTTCACCCATATACCTGTTGTTTGCCTTTGCTTCCTTATGACTGACTTGGCACATACTACCACGAAGTCCACTCTCAATCATCTCATATATAAATCTCTTGGTCGGTCAATGGTTCTAACTCCACTCCGGTTTTAAGAAGCATCCCAAGCAAAGTTAGGAAGGGTGAAGTAGTGCGCAGGGCCTAAACCATAGTATTCTAAACAAAGGTCTCTAAAATGCTCAAAGACATCGGTGAGCAAAAGAACATCGGATACCGAAGTGTTCCCAAATTTTCTTTGCTCTTTCGTAGTCTTCATCCGATATATGTTCTTTGGTGAGATTGCTGTAGAAGGCTTCCTTTGGTGGAAGTTGTCTGTCTCGAAACTTGTCAAAGGAAGTGAAGTAATCGTTTGGATAAACCCCTTTGTCGGTGAGTAAGTCCAAATCCTCGTTATTGCTGACATAGAGGTTTCGCCTACTGAATTTGAACTTGTCTTGCCAGTGGTTTTTCTTCTGTCCGTCTTCATACTTGCTCAACTTTACTAACTTATCCAACGAAGACGACAAGAAAGAAAAACTGTCTTTGAAGCACATATTCTTAAAAGCGAAGGTTATGAACTTTTCACTGTTCTGCTCTATTACATCTATCCTCGCTCTCTCTGACAGTTCATTAGCCCTCTCAATGATTAAATGACTGTCGTAGTTCTTCAGGTTATGTAGGAGGACGGGGATATAGTAGTATCTCATCGCGAATTGTAAATTACAATCTTGATGGGCGCATCCCCTATACATACCCGTGAAGTGGCAATGGTCTCTACACTTAACATCTCCTGCCAAGAAGGGATTACCACAAACAAAGCAGTGAGTTGCCAATTGAAAATCCCTCGCGTTGTTTCTATTAAATATTATTGGTTTGTTTTCTTTCGTCTTCTCCAATATGTTATCCTTTACCTCAATCATTGTATTCACGAACACATCCATACAATCCTCACCTCTGTAAAGGAAAGGCTCTGATGAACCATCAATTGAATTGACAACATGTATCATAAAACCGCAGGGTCTATGATGTTGGTATTTGTCAGTTTTAATTTCTTTGGTGCTCACCGTTCCAGTTCTTGTAGTCAAACATTCAAAATCCGCATATATCACGAACGGCGCTTTCAGTTTCTTATAGTGATTTTTGAACCTAATGAAGAACTTGTCAGGCTTTGTAGGGTCAAACTTTGGCATCACTACTTTTTGACCTTCAACCGACATACACCCATTATCGTTGTGTTGGTCTAACAGGTATTCTTCTTCAAAGGGTCGGTGGCAATGACGAAATATCCATTTCTTTGCTTTGTGCTTACTTTGGATTTGTTTCTACATCAACTTGTTGAAATCCTTGATGAAGACATAGTGATAGTTGTCTCCATCCTCCAGTATGTGATGAGTGGATTTTAGAACCTTGGACTTTCTATACAGCAGTATGGATTTGCCTTCGTCGGGGTCAATGAAATAGACATTGACTGACACCTTACCTTCGTTGTGTTGTTCAAACATTATCCCAGTTCAGGGTGTCTTCTATCTTCTTGTAGTGATACATTCCGTTCGGGTGGTCTTCTTCGTATATCTTATGAACACCGCACTGAACAGAATATTGTCTTCGTTTTGGATGTTGATACAGGCTTTCTTGCTCTGAACCCATTTAGGTAATGGAAGGAATGAACCTCCCCGAGTTGGATTGAACTTGTCGTAGTGAAACCTTAATTTTTCAAACTGACTGATTACTAATCCGCTCTCACTTAGCTCCATTCTGTCCGTTTGAAACTCTATGTCGGTTGCTATTTGAGAAAGGACACTCATTATCTCCTCTGCGTTGGTGATTTCATATCTTCTACTCCTTATTGTATGCCTAATATCTTCGTTGGTATTCTTGCTTTTGAATGTCCCGTATGCTTCCAAAATAATGTTCATTCCCTTATGTTTGTTCAGGTATTCCTTCAGTCTTTGGTCTTGGTATTTGAGATACTGAAGGGCTTTAATGCCCTTGACTTTGATATTACTGACGGAATATGAATTCACATAGTTCTTGTTTAACAGTTGTGAGTTTTCGTTTCAGTCTGTCGGTGAGTGGTTTTGTCTTGTCATAGTTGTAGGTCTTGTCCCCTATCTTGAGTTTCTTTAGTTCTCTTCGGTTCTCTTTGAGGACTTCCCCCTTTTTGGATGTCAGTGGGCTATCGAATACAATCTGCTCTGAACGACTTGTCATAATAGTAAGGTCCATATCATTATTATGCGATGTTTCTTTAAGTAGGATTTGAGGTATGGTTGGTGTGTCTTTTGACGGTTGAGGGTTGTGTTGGTGGTGTTGGACTTCATCATTAACCGCTCTGTTTCAATGTTCAACCTAATATCCTCTGTAGGGTGGCAAGTCTTCAAGTAGTTTTGGGCTGGGGTCTGGGGTTCAAGTTTTGGGGACTTGGGTTGAACCTCAACGCTTCATCAATGGCGACGGTTGCTCATACACACGTTGGTTTGGCGGTGTTTTGACAAATTGGATTTTGACGAAATGGTGCGTCCGCAGTCGGGACACTTGAACGGAATGTTCAGTGTCTTTTGATAGTAGGTTTTGAAGTAATCTTCATCTAATGGTCTCTTGTCGTAAGTTCCGTCGGGTCTCCAACGAGTGTTTGCTGTGGGAGTGTTTTTTTGGTGTGCTCGGTTGATTGAGTGCTTCAACCATTTGGTCAAAGATGTCTTCATCCATTTCTTGTTTTTTTTCCGTCAATATACAAATAACAGTGCATTTTTCTACCTTAATTCCATTAGGCGCCTTTTCTTTAAGTATTTTAAGGTGTTCTGTTGATAAGCGAGGGATTGGGCATAACACTTCACGAAATCTTCACTTGAATTCCTCGTTGTCTACGAAATCTTCACTCATTAATCCCTGTTCCCGCCACTTTCTACGAAATCCAGCACTTTAGAATTTACTGTTCCTGCCACACTTGAGCCAACTAGATACTATATAACCATATAAACAGTCAGAATGACACCGTATGGGTTTGCTTGTGGGGTCTCTTTGCCACCGATGCTCCCCGATACAGTGCCACCCTGACTGAAAAAAATGAACCTACTCCAACCATATGTTCTATATATATATATAAATCAAAATAGAATGGAGAAAAAGAACTTGGGTAGGTAGTGAGTGTGGGGGGGTCGCGTTTGGAAATCCGCTTCCCCACCATCACTCACTCCTCCCTTCTTCTCTTCTCCGTCCTTTCTTTTTTGCATAAATAAAAAAAACAAAACATGTAAAAAGACGCAACGCCGACGCCCACGCATCCCCCGACCGCCCTGAAGTGGATGAAGACCTCCCTTCTGACCAAGCAGGACGAACGATAGAACAATAGATAGGTAGATAGATAGAGAAATAAATGTATATAGGTCAATCCAATCTACGATATATTTAGTGAATTTAGTGGAAGTGTTTGCCAAATGTCAGGCTTTGAGAGGTTGCTTGGATAAGCCACTTCTTCCACTGTTCAAGTGTCAAACTCTGGAGTTTCTTAGGTTAAGCAACTCTCTCCAAGTTCTGGTTTATATAGAAGTCAAACGCTGAAGTTTCCCGTCTCTCGATACTTGGTTCTGGGTACCATTGATACTTGGATACTGGTATCGGGGTATCATTGATACTTGGTTC